TTTGTCTCTTGTTGATTATGTTCTAATTATAATCTGAAGGCTGATTTTAAGTCTTTTAAATATTAACAACTCATCTCAGAATTGTTTTCATAACATTTTTCTGGTATTCTGAAATGAATTTATCTCATTATTCTATTTTTTGAAAGTTTGTTTTACATCATTCCCCCTTTACAAAGACTTACATTACTACAGGTTTCGTTTTGTTATACTACAGGTCAAACATTTGGGGCAGCAACATTTGGTTTAATACTTTCTAAGGTTTAATTAACTTCTCATACCTTCTTTGGTTTAATTAACTTTTACTAAGTGAGGATCTTGAAAATATTAAACCAATTAGTGCATGATGTCCAATTTTTTAGAGAGATGTTTCCTAAAATTTAAAATTAGTCTTAATCTTAAGATTAATATTAGCCAGAAAAGTACAGGGTGATCTGAAAGTCTTGTCACCTCTACATAATATAATTTTTTTTATTTCCGATGGCTGACATGAGCTCCTACTGTTTGAAAGAGAGATAAGGTGTAATAAGACTTTCGAACCACTCTGTATATTAGTCAAAAAGAGATAAAAATTTTAAGGACATTTTATGCAGTAATAGATTAATTTTGTTATTGAATATAAGATAAGACTCTTCAGGGAGACAAAGTCCCTCTGGCTAAAGTGAGCTAATAAATTAATTTTGAAAAAGGCAGCATCTTTCAATTTTTAGGCAATTCTTTGGTATCACAGGGTGATACCAAACTTTTCAACCTGTAGTGTATCTGAAAAGATGTGAAGCAAAAAAACCATTCCCAATTGATTTATATGAGGAAGAACTTTTGAGAAATTTCCAAACCCAACACATAGCTATAAGTATATTGAAATATTCTTCTATGTCTGCCTCTGTTGATGATCTTGGCTTAAGGAATGTTTGAAATATGACAGTATGCTTGACTATTCAGCTTCACATGTTTTTCTATGAAACAGTTCTTTGAAAACACTGTAGATATCTTAGAAACCTGTTCTAAAGCTAAAAAAAAAAAAAATTAAAATTAAAAAATTAGTGCCACTTAGCAACAATATGTAGTTCCTACCTTTACCCCAATAGCAATGTCTACATGGCATAGCATGAATTCAACAAGGTACTGAATTCATTGCCTGGCTATATTACCTGGCTCTCCATAGCTGGAGATATATATATATATATATATATATAAGTGAACATAAAAGTCAACACTCAGAGGCAACAGGCTGTTTCATGCTAGACACAATCATCAAGCCTGACGATTGCATCTAGCATGAAACAGCCTGTCGCCTCTGAGTGTTGACTTTTATGTTCACTTTTAGATCTATTTATGAATAAAAATGACAATAGGAAAACTGGTAATTGCTGACACGTTTCGTCCAATGTGGACTTTATCAAAAGCAAAATACGAAATTCGTATTTTGCTTTGATAAAGTCCACATTGAACGAAACAGTTTTCCTATTGTCATTTTTATTCATAAATATTGTCTTCTCTACCGATTAAATCGGAGAAATTTTCATATTTTATATCTATATTTACATACGCTCTATCTATGATATTGAGCACTTTATCCCATAAATATAGCACACCTTAAAACTATATTTCTTTTATTTATTTATATATATATATATATATATATATATATATATATATATATATATATATATATATATATATATCATCCTAACATATAGTAACCTAATGACATAATATGTATAGTATTATAATATATGACGTATGGGCAGTGGTGACATTGCACTGGTTTGTGCAAATCAATTCTTAAAATTATAAAAGCTTAGCAAACCTGTTGTTGGATTATCTGAAAATAATCTTATATATTAATAACTGATGGCCTAGGTAAAATGTTACTAGTACGCATGCCTAGCGATACTCAAACAGACACATGCCCCCTAGTGTTTTGAAGTTAAAAATGTAACAAATCTTCTAGTTATAAATTTGATAGGTCTTCCATTGGATCTTTGGGATTGCAATAATTCAGTTCGATGTGGCTAAGAAACAAACCATAACACAGCAGAAAACACTAGAGTCAAAAAGCACTGTAACTGTTACAGTGTACTTCTTACCTTATTCAATTGTAATATACAGAAAAATATTTGTGAATATGAAAGGATTATGATAAAAATAAGCAGACTTTTTTTTTTGTAATTTATTCAATCAGACAGGCTGAAAAGCGAATATGCTACCTAAATACATACATATATATATATATATATATATATATATATATATTATGAAATGGACAAGGTCCGACAATTATTTTAAGACATTTTTTTATGTTTATACATTCTTTTTATAGATACAAACATTTAAGTAAATGCTCTGTTTATAATGAACAATATTAAACAACATTTACCGCCTGAATGTTGGAGGACGAATATTTTCTGTGAAAATTTCTTATTATTCAGGCATAAATATTTTAATACTGTTTATTATAAACAGAGCATTACTTAAATATTTGTATTTATAAAAAGAATTTATAAACATAAAAAATGTCTTTATATATATATATATATATATATATATATATAAAATCATAATAATAATACAGATCATTAACATTAGCAAAACACATAACAAATTACAATAATAAATTATACAACTAAAGGCAAACTTTTTTTTAAATGTGCTCAATATTAAAAACATGTTGCAACAATAGTTAATAGATAAAGAAATATTCAAAAGATTTATATTTATTTTTGATGAGTAGTATATCTGTAAAACTTGAACTCTAAAAGATAATTATTTTGAACATTTTTTATTTATTAACTGTAAGTTTATATAATATAACAATATAACATAACATGAAATAGGGACATAAATGTCGATCTATTGTATGTAAGGAGTGTTGTTTTAAGGTGCAAATTAATCACCATATGAAAGTTTCTTTATATTCTTCAAAGTATTTAATTGTCATGTATGTCCAGAATAAGGTCTGTTGTTTTTCAAATACAATTCCTTAGATTTTTTTCATGAAGACTTACACAATATCACTATTGAATTGCTCATTGCTCAATAGTCTTTATCAATGTCAAGGCTCTATCAAGATGCCTGGCTGTGAAACCACAATTTGAAAGACTGATATATGAACTAAAACTCATTTGAAAAAAAAAAATTTCCATCTCAAATGCTCTTGACACTCTCAGCTTAAATTCTCTGACAGGAGCAGCGAACAACACTTTTATATTCTTGATTCTAGCCACTGAATGGCTCCATTCATTCAGCTTGATTCCAATTTTAGTTAATGTTTTAGTTAATTTCCATCTGAGAAATGAGAAGGGTAACTGCAAACCATCCCCATTCCAAAGTCGGAACATTACATTTCCATTCATAAAATCTTCAATACCTTTGCTGCACAAAAGAGGGTAACACAAACATGGCTCATTTGTCTTCAAGGGATGACCTCCCAATTCTTGCTGAGAGTTGATCTTTGACTTTTCTTTTTCATCTGATCACTTCCATTTTTTTTCCTGTTAATAAAACTTATCTCCATTTACAATTCGTTCTGCTTAGAAAACATCAACAAATTCTGTTAATAAATAGACTACGTCACTTTAGAAAAAAACATCAAAAGTCAACAAATATCTTTATCTAATTTTTATTGAACAGTTTTTTGATTGATTCATTCATTTTCTACAGCTTGTCAATCCTTAAAGCCAGGAAATATTTTTAGATTTAAAATTTTTTTTTTTTTTGAGATAATAATGATTTAGTGATACAAGTCTTATTAATTAACCCATAGCTGGGGGAGAAGCGGTGGATTCATACCTTTTCCCAAGAGTATTTGTATGTAAATGAATATAATGAACCGAACAGAAATTGGAACTTGGCTCTCCAATTAACAATACCAAGCCATTATCCATTAGACTGAAATGAAGATGGATTGGCCGCACACTCCGTAAACCTGCTTCTAGTGTCACCAGGCAGGCTTGACTGGAATCCACAAGGTCACAAAGTGGGTCAACCAAAACAGACTTGGTGCAGAAGTGTTGACACGGTGGTGAAGGCAGCCAGCACGACATGGGCTGAAGATGATTGCCCTTAACCACATCTGTTGGAGAGGTGCTGTTGTGGTCCTATGTTCCCCAAGGAATCAAGAGGTATAATAATAATAATAATAATAATAAATAATAATCCAAGGAATCAAGAGGTATAATAATAATAATAATAATAAATAATAATCCAAGGAATCAAGAGGTATAATAATAATAATAATAAATAATAATCCAAGGAATCAAGAGGTATAATAATAATAAATAATAATCCAAGGAATCAAGAGGTATAATAATAATAAATAATAATCCAAGGAATCAAGAGGTATAATAATAATAAATAATAATCCAAGGAATCAAGAGGTATAATAATAATAAATAATAATCCAAGGAATCAAGAGGTATAATAATAATAATAATAATAAATAATCCATTAGACCACCAGCACTTCCAAGCTTATAGCACCTGTTATTTCCAATTGGTCACCCATCTAGATACTGACCAAGCTTGACATTGCTTAACTTCAGGTGATCGTACAGGAACCAGTATTTCAAATGTTATGGCCATTAGCCTGATGAGCCATTTTAATGTCATTGGGATCATGTATAATTGTCGGTAGCAAATAAATTTTTTGTCTATCACATGGATCTCTTAGTTGAAATGAATGTTTAATGCCAGAAATGGACATAGGCTCTTTGCCATAATAATGTTTGCCTTTTTTGAGGGTATGGGATTTAAGTCGGGAGACATTAAGAAAGAATTTGCACCCTTTAGTTTACATGATTTTATGTGAGGGGGCCTCTCTAGCTTCCCCTGGTGAGTGTTCTGAACAAATATAAAACCTAGAAACTGGTAGGAGCTTGTGGAAAATCATGATCACGTATGTCCTGAAGAGACAAGCAAACATTAGCACTCAAATAATAACATTTTTCAGCATATAAGTACATATGTGCAAACATTTAGAAAAAACAATAAAATTGATTGTTCTCATGCTGGCCCATAAAGAGAGAGAGAGAGAGATAATGAATGAGTAACATAGAGGAAGAGTGAGAGTGAAGAGAAAGAGAGAATGGGCAGCATAAAGGAAGCATAAGAATGGGGAGTGAAAGAAAAAGAATAGTTAAAATAGAGGAAAGAGGAGTGAATGGAAAGAATGAAGAGAGAGAGAGAGAGTGACAAGTCATGGACAAGAAACATAGAGGAAGAATGAGAGTGGGGAGAGATAGACAAAAAATGAATGGCCAGCATAGAAGGTTGAGAGAGTGAGTGAGTGAATGGGCAACATACATGAAGTGTGAGAATGGTGGGGAGAGAGAAAAAAAAAGAAAAAATGGTCAACATAGAGGAAGTGCGAAAGGAAAGAGAGAGTGACAGATAATGAATGAGTAACATAGAGGAAGAGTGAGTGGAGAGAGAGAGGAAAAATGAATGTGCAATATAGAAAAGCTGAAAGTGGAGAGAGAGAAAGAATGGGCAACATAGAGGAAATGTGAGAGGGGAGAGAGAGTGACAGAATGAATAAGATAGAGTGAGAGTGCAGAGAGAAAGAGAGGAAAACGAATGGCCAGCATAGAAGAAGGCTGAACGTGAAGTTAGAGAGAAAAAGAGAGAGAGAATGGGCAACATACAGGAAGTGTGAGAGTAGAGAGAGAGAGAGAGAGAGAGATAGAGAGAGATAATGAATGGGTAGCATAGAGGAAGAGAGAGTGGAAAGAGAACAATTGAATGGGCAACTTAGAGGAAAGCTGAAAGTGAAGAAAGATAGAAAACAAATAGTCAACATAGAAGAAGCGTGAGAGAGAGAGAGAGCGCAAATGGACAATATAGATGAAGTGTGAGAGTGGAGAGAGGAAGAATGAACAACATAGTGGAAGTGTGAGAGGAGAAAGAGAGAGAAAGGATGATCAACATATAGGAAGTTCACACACTTCCTATATGTATGTGTGAGTGGAGAGAGAGAGAGAGAGAGAGACGAAGAATGGGTAACATAGAGATAGTGTAAGAGGAGACAGAAATATAATGGTCAATATAGAGGATGTGTGAGAGTGAAGTGAGTGAGAGGAAGAATGGTCAACATAGAGGAAGTGTGTGAGAGAGAGAGAACAGTCAACATAGAAAAAATGTGAGAGGAGAGAGAGAGGGAAATTATGGTAAACAGAGAGAGAGAGAAGTTTGAACAATGAGCAATTTAAAATCATTATCCAGTAAAACATTTTTAAAAAAGAAGAAAAACATTTTTTTTTTTTTTTTTTTTTGCTAGAATTTCATGGTAATACCCTAAAAAAACAGATAATATTTATCCTTTTCCAATTTATATTCTGTACAAAAAATCTATTTAATTAGATTTTTTTGTTTTCATTCTGGTTTTTCAGCCTCAATGCCAAAAGGCATAAATACGACGAAGAAAGCATGAAGATTGCAATCGAATGTGTAAAATCAAAATCTTTGACTCTGGGGAAAGCCGCCAAGTGTTTTGAAATTCCGAAATCTACACTACAAGACAAAGTAAAAGGAAAATATGCAATAAAAAAAGAGAAAACCATCCTCACGTACAAAGAGGAAAATAAATTAGCCGAGTGGTTGACTATTGCTTCAAAAAGAGGTTGCGGCTGCACAAAACAGCAGCTTCTTCATCAGGTGCAAAAAATTCTAAACACTGAAAAAAGGCAGACAATATTCAATAATAATTTGCCTGGCAATAGATGGTATTATGCATTTCTACGGCGACAAGGTAATCTCTCTCTACATCAGACTCAGAGACTAGGAAGTGGTCAAGCCGTTTTAACAGAGGAAACAATCCGCCAGTGGTTCAAGAATGCACATAAGCAGCTGAAAGAAGAAGGATTCGATATATCCTTTTCAGAAGATCCGCACAGAGTGTTTAACTGTGATGAATTAAGCTTCCCGTTATGTCGAAAGACAGGCAAGGTACTGACTTGCAAGACAGAAAAACAAGTTAATCGAGCAAGTGATCATATCAAAACACAGATCACGGTTCTTTTGTGTACTTCGGCTGCTGGAAATATAATGAAACCAATGTTAGTTTTTCCCGGAAGTAAATTCCACTATGATCCACTTGCAGGCTTCAAGGAAGCAGTGTTTGCAAAATCCCCAAAAGGGTGGATAGAAAGTAGCGTCTTTGAATCTTGGCTTAAAGAGGTCTTTATTCCTTTTGTGAGTCCGTTAAGGAAGCCAGTGGTTTTGTTTCTTGATGGCCACATCACACGGGTCTCTCTAAGGACACACGAGTTATGTATAGAAAATAAAATTCTCTACTATTCTCTCCCTCATCGTGCTTCTCATATTGTTCAACCACTCGACTTGAATCTTTTTAAAAGTTTTAAATTAGAATGGAAGAAAGCGATACTTGAAATTCAAGACGGCCATCTACAAGCAATTAACAAAACAACTTTTGCTAGCATATTGAAAAAAGTATGGAGCTGGACTGTGACCCCACAAAAAATTATCAGCGGCTTTCGGGCATCTGGCATTTACCCTTGGAATCCTGAAGCTGTGAATTATGAGAAGATTAGCTCAAAGTCAGTACAGCCATCGTTGAGCTGTTCATCCCTACCTGTCCAGCTGGGAATATCAGACTTACAGAACAACCTCGATATGTTACTGGATGTTGTACAGTCAATACCACGCGAGAAGCTGATGGATTACCGAAAAATTCTGAGTAAAGATGAGCACTGTGCAGAACCAGAATTTATTCAATTCCGATGCCTTTACAGAAAGGTAGCTGGAATTCCAGAGAAGAACGCTTCCTTTGACAATTTGCCTCTTCCTGAAGAATGCATGAAGAACACATTGGAAATAAAACTGGAAGGAAAAGAAAAGAAACAAAAACAGAATAAAAAAGAGAAAGAACAATCAAATAAAAGTTTTGCAAAGCAAAACAGAAAAATATCCGCGGAGAATTCTTCAGAGAGTGAGGAAGAAATGTTATTAGATGATGAAATTGTCGCAACTGTTAATAATATTTTAATGTTTGATGAAAATAATTGTTGCGTGTGCAGTGAAGACAGTGACAAGTCTGGTTGGATTGGGTGTGACAAATGCGAGAGATGGTACCACAAGGAGTGTGCAAGGACAGACGAAGATTTGACATTAATGGACGAGGCTGATTTAGAATCATTTCCTTTCATTTGTGAATATTGCGCATAAAAAAAAAACTTCATCTTCATTTATTTTTTTAATAAAAACTACTTTGTAAACTGTTTTTCTTGGCTTCTTTCTTTCATGTGGTTTGGTTTGTTTTGTTTTACGGCACATCAACCTCAATGGGTCATTTAATGCCGACAACTTTCTTTTTTTTTTTGGTAATATTTTTGTTTTGTCAAAAATCTATTTCTGTTAATATTTTTTTCCTCAAAAATGTATAGCTGGTCATAATATTTTTTCCAAAACATATAGCTGGTAATATTATTTTTCCAAAAACGTATAGCTGGTAATATTATTTGTCAAAAACGTGTAGCTAGTAATATTTTTCAAAAACATATAGCCGGTAACACTATTCTTTCAAAAAAAAAAAGAGTATAGCTGGTAATATTTTTTCAAAAACGTACAGCTGGCAACATTATTTTTTTTCAAAAACGTATTATCAAAGGCCTTGCTGTTGGACATAGTTTATCGTCATACCCAGGACGAGATCTAGGTTTAGGGATGCTGTTTATCGTCATACATAGGACGCGAATGTAGTTTATCATCATACACAGGACACAGATTTACCCATAGCTGGGACCCTAACAGGTGCTACCACCCCGAGTCAGGGTGGACCTGGGAACACCAGCAATTAAGAGGTGATTCCACACTCCTCAAAACCTCCTGATCAGAGCCTTGCTGTTGGATGTAGTTTATCGTCTTACCCAGGACGCGGATGCAGTTTATCGTTATACCCAGGACGGTTTCTTTCATATGATTTGTTGATATGTCAAATATATTCTGTAAATGACGTGTTTTCTTTCGAATGTATTAGACGCCAGTTTTGTTCTTTCAAACATTTGAATGCAAAAGAATCATCCTCAAGCATTAACATCAGCTGAATGAGACCCCAATTGCAATTTTGGGTCTCAAAGTAAAATTGAATTTCAATAGGAATTTAGTAAATTTAGCTTAGTTAGAAGAATCCAAGTACTGGAAATGAGATGCTACAAAATCATCCTCAGTATCTCTTATGAAGACCACATTACAAACGACACAAATGCCATCAAACAAGCTTATTGGAAGACCTCATAACTGCCATCAAGAAGAGAAAGTTGAAATGGTATGGCCACATCATAAGAGCCAATAATCTATCTTTTCTTACTGTATAAGATTCCAGATCAGGCAAAAGAAGAGGCAATTTGACAGTATAAGCTGACGATGCCACTGATTGAAGATTATTCACAGAGACTCAGACTTTGAGGCATGCAACTGAGACATCTGGTCAGGTGCTCAGTAACCCTTCAACTACACCTGATCATGGGACTAATGATGATGGTAATAATGAGTATAGTTCTGACACAAGGCCACAAATCTGGAGCACCCAGTGAAGACTAAACTCTTTCTTAATTGAAAGATTTGGGTAGTAGTATAACGGTTATCAGCACAAAAAATGGAATCTGCAGGCAGAGTTCAAATTCCAGCTGAGTCTGTTGCATTCACTATCACACAAATGCCTTTGGGAAAGGCATGAATCCATTTCTTCTGCCTCAAGGTATGAATTAATTACCAGGATAGACTGGGTTCTTTAGCATTGGGTGGCAGACAGTCTAAGAGAAAAAAACTTTAGATTCCAAACTGCGAAGAAGACAGCAGGAAACCATTTCACTATCTTCTCCCCAAAAAGCCATGGCAAGCAGCAGATAATAAAGACAAGGAAGCTGTGGGGAGCCATGATTGCCTATGTCCTGAAGGAATATGGCGTTTAAAAAAGAGATAGTGAAACACATTTTGAGATGACCGAAGTTTGTTTGAATATTTTTAAATAGTAAAAAATTGGGGGTTATATTGCTTTTAATATCCAAAACAAATTTCAAATTTTAAATACTGAGTTACTTCCCTTATATTTTTTTTATACCTAACCTCATATTCTGATCACACATTTTTCCATAAGTAAAATGAAATATAATTCAAAATTTGTGACAAATAAAAACTTGGAATGTATAAAACAAAATAAATAAAATTTTAAAAAGTCACGTTTACTTTTTTTGGGAGTTGAAAATTCTTTCACCACAACTAAAACCCAGAATAGCATTCAAAGTGCAATATCATTACATGTATAACTCCTTAATCGATGTTAAAAAATTAATAGGTACAAACCAGATCCCCTTCTTATGAACATTTCTCTTAGTAATAATTTTAAAAATAACACAGCAGACAATATTTTATTTATGGTAATTGGATTTTTGGCAATTACCTTACTCGGCTTCTGTCATTAAGTACTGTGCATCCAAAAAAATTATGCTTTTATAGTCGCTATTGCTTCTCGGCCTTTTGAGGTTGAAATAATTATAAGCCTCCCCCCCCAGTATCTTCAGGAGGGGGCTGGGGTTATTGCCTGGCACTTGAGGCATCCCCAAAAGGCAAAGTGCCAAGGGGGCTTGGGCAATTTTTCCACAGTATTGCCGTTAAAACCCACTTTAAATCTCAACCTTTAAATCACATTCGATAACACCGTAGGCACACTAAAAAATAAACGCTTTTTGGCCTTTTGGCTAAGATCAAAGTGTAGTATCTGTTCTTATCAGCTTAATCTGATTCTCTCTCTCTCCACTTCTATTTTCCATTCTTTCTTTCTTTCACTAAAACCAGGTAGTGTCTTTTCCTTTCTTTCAATTAAAACAAAATAGTCCATTATTTATGAGGCATTGGTAGAGCATAAT